GTCCTCGCGCAACTGGACACGGCGCTCGCCAGTGTCTCCAGCGTACGCAACCATGGCCGCCCTGGGCTCGCCCTTGCACTCAGGGCCCCCGGACCAGTGGCCTGTCTCGTGGCAGGTCTTGCATGTCGAGCGTTCCTTGATCTCCTGGAGCCGCTTCTGGCGATCTTCCAGGGAAGGCCCCCCCTTGCCGCCTCCCTCGGGCGATCGGGGCGTGCAGCGGCAACTCTTGCCTCCGCTCTGTCCTCTGCCCTTGCCCCTCCCTTTGGTGCCAAGGTTGGCGACCAGGTCCTTTCGGATCGCGTCAGAAGCTTCTTCCTCCGCGTATCCGGCCTCGGCCATCTCGTCGACGACCTCGACGTCGAGCTCGCTGCCATCCTGGACAGGAGCCCAATGAGCATATGACTCCTCGTCGACGTAGGCGCGTTCATCGGCGCAGTCGCCTCAGGCCGCGTCGCCCCAGCCGTGCTCTGGCGCATAGTCAGACGCGTAGTATCCGTAGGGACTCAGCTCATCAGGGTAATGCTCCTCCTGCTCGCACCACCCTTTATCAGCAATGTAGAAGGCGTGTAGTGGTCTGGAGAAGCGCACCTTGCCCTTGCCCTTGCTCCTGTTATGTTAGCTAGGTCTGGGCTGCGTCCACGTCGAAGAGCTGGAGCCTTCACCAGTCTCACCCTTGCCTGTTTGGCGGATGTGTATGCGGCCGTGCTGGAGGATCACGACGTCTTTGATATTGTCGAAGGTTGTCACATTTCCTGCGGATGTCAACGCCATCCGGTTCTCCAAAAGCGAGAGACCTGCATTTTCCAAGAGAAGGGAGCCAAGCATATCGTCGCTCATCCAGATCTTCGGATCTAACTTGGAGACAGGTTTCCACCAGCGCTTCCTTCGGGAGATGCACGAGACCATAGACTCACCGCGCTGCCGAGACAGTGGTCCATATGGTCTATTCCCCATCTGGAACAGGATCTTCGCTTCCTGCGCCCCTATGGGGAAGAGTGAAATGCGCATCGCCAGCGCCAGCTGATCGATCCCATTCGGAGTCAGAAGCACGTCCTTACCGATATGCATGGCAATATCGAATGCGTCACCTCTGAGGCCTTCTACAACCTTGTTGACAGCTGCGGTGATCACGTGTTGCTGTGGTGCACCCGTCTCTTGATCCACTGAGGCCAAGGCGGCACTCATGGTGCGGAATTCCCACTCGTGAAAGTTGTTCACCGTGCGGTCGTAGATGTAGGAGCCACTCTTCGTCTCAGACCGCGTCAGCGCGTCGGCGCTCGGTCTATAGCGAAGAGAAGAAAGTGCCATGGCTCAGTCCCCTAGCGAGGGAAACTGCCAGTACAGAAAGTAAAGAGAGGTAGTGCGACACTCTCTGACGAGACGTGCGCGCAGTGGTACGATACGGAGATCGTGTGGTAGCTCCGCTACCAGTGTGATTATGATGCGTTTTAGCGCAATGGCAAAAAGAGGCCCTAGAGGTCAAACGGCGGCGAGTGGCGCATACACACACGTGACACATGCACTATCTCACAACCCAAGACGGCCCAAGAGACCCCCAAGATCGCCCCCACAGTGCCCAAGAGGCCTCCAATATGGCCTCAAGACTGCCCAAGAGGCCCCCAAGACGGCCCCAAGAGGGCACAAAGACGACCCAAGAGGCCTCCAAGACGCCCAAGATGGTCTCTAAGACTGCCCTGGAGCACCCCAAGAGGGCCCCAAGTCGGCCCAGAAAAGCCCCCCAAACGGCTTCCGACGGCGTCAGACGGGCCAGGAGCCCACCAAGATGGCCGAAGTTGGCTCGAAGCTTGCCCAAGACGGCCCAAGAGGCCTCCAAGAGGGCCCCCAGGAAGGCCAGAAAAGGCCAAAAACACGTATTGTCCGTAGTTGTTCAAAGGATTTTGACATTTGCTTCGTTTCGGCCTTCGGACGGAGAACCCCCAAAGATCGCCCAAAGATCGCCCAAGAGGCCTCCAAGATGGCCCCAAAACGGCCCAAGAGGCCCCCAAGACGGCCCCAAGAGGCTCCCAAGAGGGCCCAGGAGGCTTTTAAGACGCCCAAGATGGCTTCCAAGACGGCCCTGGAGCATTCCAAGAGAGCCCCAAGTCGGCTCAGAGAGGCCCCCCAAACGGCTTCCGAGGGCGTCGGACGGGCCTGGGGCCCACCAAGACGGCCGAAGATGGCACCAAGGTGGCCCAAGACGGCCCAAGAGGTCTCCAAGAGGGCCTCCAGGAAGGTCCGAAAAGGCCAAAATCATTGATTTCCCATGAGTCGTTCAAGGATTGTGGCATTTGCTTTTTGTTCGGCCTTCCGACGGCCCGAGACGGCCCAAGTGCCCCCAAAGATCGCCCAAGAGGCCCAAGACAGCCCCAAGAGGCCCCCAAGACGGCCGAAGAGGCCTCCAAGACACTCAAGATGGCCGCCAAGACGGCCCAAGAGCCCTCCAAGACGTCCTCCAAGAAGGCACGAAAGGGTCAAAATGGCCTCCAGGCGGCCAAGATGACCTTCAAGATGCCCACGTGTTCCCCGAAGGCTTTCCAAACCGATTCGGGGAACTCATGGTCCGATAGCTTGGCAGGTCTGGCCTCAACGTTCGGCCACATAGGCGCTTCCAAAAAGGCATGGGGCGGCGGTGATTCGCCGTAGGCGTCTTCGATATCGGAATCCGAATCGGACCGGTCGGGTCCACAGTGGACCCCCCCAAGTGGGTCCGAGAAGGCCTCTCGAAGGCAGGAGGGCGAGGAAGCCATATCATAAACATACCCTTTCGGAGGTCCGCGCCGACTTCCTGGTTCGGCGCTGGGCCCACCCACCCTGGCGCGACCCAGCGCCGATCCAAGATGGCCAAAAGCTGATGTTAACTAATGCCTCTGGGATTTCGAAGAAGTCCCGTGCCCTCTGAAAAGGCCCTCCCCCAGTCGCGCCACCCAATCCTGCGCGCCGCCGACCCTCTTGCAGGAAGCCAGCAACCGTGCACTGCAACCGGCCTGGGCCAGGCCCATCCTCCTCCGCCCTCATCCTCCTCTCCTCCTACCTCCTACCTCCTACCTCCTCCTCCTCCTCCCCCTCCTCCTCCTCCTCCTCCTCCTCCTCCTCCTCCTCCTCCTCCTCCTCCTCCGCCTCCTCCTCCCTCCTCCTCTCCTCCTCCTCCTCCATCCTCCTCCTCCTCCTCCTCCCTCCTCCTCCTCCTCCTCCTCCTCCTCCTCCTCCTCCTCCTCCCTCCTCCTCTCCTCCTCCTCTCCTCCGCCCCTCGTTTCCTCCCTCCCACTCCAACTCCCACTCTCCCACTCCCACTCCCCCGACTCCCACGCCCCACTCCCACTCCCACTCCCACTCCCTCCTCTCGTCCCTCCCTCTCTCCCTCCCCCCGTCCCTCCCTCCCTCCCTCCCTCTACCCTTGTCTCCTCCTCCTCCTCTCTCCCTCCTCCTCCTCCTCCTCTCCTCCTCTTCCTCCTCCTCGCTCCTCCTCCTCCTCCTCCTCCTCCTCCTCCTTCCTCCTCCTCCTCCTCCTCCTCCTCCTCCCTCCTCCTCCTCCTCTCCTCCTCCTTCCCTCCTCCTCCCTTCTAACCTCCTCCTGTCCCTCCCTCTCTCCCTCCCTCCCTCCCCTTTCCCTCCATTCCTTCCTCCTCCCTCCCCTCCCTCCCTCCCTCTCTCTCTCTCTCTCTCGTCTCTCTATCCCTCCTCCTCCCTCCTCCTCCTCCTCCTCCTCCCTCCTCCTCCTCCTCCTCTCCTCCTCCTCCTCCTCCTCCTCTCCTCCTCCCAAATCCTCCTCTCCATCGTCCTCCTCCGTCTCCTCCGTCTCCTCCTCCTCTCCTCCTCCTCCTCCTCCTCCTCCTCCTCCCTCCCTCCTCCTCCTCCTCTTCCTCCTCCTCCTCCTCCTCCTCCTCCTCCTCCTCCTCCTCCTCCTCCACTCCTCCCTCCCTCCCTCCTTCCCTCCCTCCCTCCCTACCTCCTCCCTCCTCCTCTCCGCCTCCTCCTCCTCCTCGCTCTCCTCCTCCTCCTCCTCATCATCATCATCATCATCATCATCATCATCATCATCATCAGCAGCAGCAGCAGCATAATATTATCTTGTAAAAATATAGTTTATTATCTTATCTTATAGTATCTCATCATCATCAGCAGCATCAGAATCATCATAATCCTCTTCATAATCATCATCATCATCCTCATCATCATCAGCAGCAGCAGCAGTATCATCATCAGCATCATCATCAGCAGCATCATCATCATCAGCATCATCATCCTCATCATCATCCTCATCGTCATCATCATCATCATCATCATCAGCAGCAGCAGCAGCAGCAGCAACATCATCATCATCATCCCTCCTCCCTCCTCCCTCCTCCCTCCTCCCTCCTCCCTCCTTCCCCTCCCCCTCCGTCCTCCGTCTCCCCACTCAGCCTCCACGTCGCCCGCGCCCTCGCACCGCATCCCAGCACCCCCGCCTGGGGGAACGAAATGACCATTACTGCTATTCCCCGGACCTCTCCAGGGGCGCGCTGTAACCAGGATTTCAAGGCGCATCTAGCCGTGGCGACGAGGGACGGGTAACTATCGGTATCGGTTCCTCCTCCAACCGTCGTCACCGACGACGGCGGCGGCGGCGACAACGTCGAAGCTCCCCCCGAACACTCCTTTCCGATTTCTTGATTTGCTGTACACGGGGTCCACGAAGTTCCGACCAATTCCCCAGGGCAGGCTTGTCATCATGAGCGGTCTGTTGGACGCTCCCGAGGCCCGAAACAACTCCCCAGAGGCCGAAAGCGAGGAAAAACCTCCGCCTTGATTTGTCATCACGTTAGAGTTCTGGGCTCAAGACGATCTGGGCACCCCTCGAAAGCTCTCGGCCAGGCGCAGCTGTTCAAAGGCACCCCGAGGCTGGAAGACCTCCGGGAACCCGCGAAGACGCCCGAGAAGACGACGACCCCTCGAGCTGGAAAACCTACGAACTCCCCCCAATCCCCAGCAGCCGAACTGGATATCTGAGCCGGGCGAGGCGCCTCTGCTCCTGCTGCCCAAGGGCCGAGGCGAGGATGCCGGGCGGCCGGGGCGGGAACTGCGGCGGGGGCTGCGCGAGGTGGGCAGCGTCCTGCCTGCTGGGGGTGCCGGTTGAGGGGGCAGCAATACAGTGGGGATGCGCACCAAAAACTATACGGTTCCGGAGTCGGAGCCCAACGCGAACAGCTACAGTGCCGGGATCAGCGAGTGCGAAGTGGGGGAGCGGTGGCAGCGGGCTGTGGCGCTGCTCAGCGCCACTGGTTGCAAAATCGGAGCTCAACGCAAGGGGGGGACTGGCTCAGGGGGGGAAACATCGACTGGGAATCGGCGATATGTTGCCGATAAATATATATCTATATATATACACATAAATTCATGTATGCATGCATGCATACATGCATACATGCATACATACATACACATGTATATTTTCACAAACGTATGCACAACCATAAACATATACAACTACGTATACATATACATATACATATACATATACATAAACATATACATATACATATGCATATACCTATACATCTATATACATATACATATACATATACATACATATAAGCATATACATATACATAAAAATTTACATATATATATATATATATATATATGTATATATACATATACACATACACATACATATATATATACATATACATATACGTACACAAATACATATACATATACATATACGTATACGTAAAAATATATAAACATATACATATACATATACATATACATATACATTCACATATACATATACGTATACATATACATATACACATACATACATACATATATATATATGCATATACATATACATATGCATATATATGTGCATATGCATACATACATACATACATACATGCATACAGACATATCTACATGCATGCATACACACATACATACATACATGCATGCATACATACATGCATACATGCATATATGCATACATGCATACATACATGCATGCATACATGCATACATGCATACATACGTACGTACATATATACATATATACATAATACATATATATATTATGTATATAATAGTATGTATAGATATACATAGAAGTATATATATACATATATACATATATTCAGTTATCGGAAACAAGTCCCCCATAGCGAATCCGCACGTTCCTGGGCGGGGAGGGCTATGGGGCACCTATCGCAGATGAATGTGCGGTCGGGGGTCGACGCATTCCCCCCGAGAGCCTATTCCAGCCACGCGCAGAGGGTGTTAGGGGGAGGAGGATGGCTTCTGAGAAGCACCCCTGCTTCTTAGAAGGCGCGGACCTTATCTATCGGCGGTGGACAAACCTCCCTTTAAGAGAGCACCCTTTAATGAAAACGGCCTGGGACCGGAACCGACGGACCTGGACCCGCAAAATGACGGCCGCGACGCCCTCTCGCGAACCGAAAACGGCCAATTCCCTAATCGACGCCTGGGAAAGAGGTCTGTCCACCCCCGAATCTATATGTGTATATATATATATACACATACACACAAATATGTCCGTATGTCAGGCCCGCGCCTTCTGAGAAGCGGCCTCCTTCTACGAAGACTTCCCCTCGCCCCCAGACCCGCCTCTGCGCGTGGCCAGCTATTCCACCCTGTCCCTCCCCCGCACGTCCAGTACTCAGAGGGGCATAGAAAGCAACGACACCGTTCGAGGCCAGGGCCACCCTGGGCCCTGACCTGGCCCTCACCCATCGGTCGGACGAAGTAGGCGTAGGTCGGGCGTGTCCTCGTACGGGCGGATGTTGGACGAATGATGAAAAATATTCCAAAAAAATCCAATAGAAAATCGGAAATAGTCGAAAGATCGTCCTGGGATTATTTCATATTTTATTATTTCTTCTACTGTAGAGGGACGTGCCCGACTTAAAAGTAGGTTGAAACATGAAGGAGGAAGGCGCTGCAAGTAGGTTGGGTGTCCGCCCGCCCCCTAAAGAGGACGGAAATGGGGAAGCCACTCGATCATTGTGAAGTAGTCAGGCGCTCACGAAGTGGACTGGAACCTGGGGTTCCAAAAATACCTACCTCCAACGACAGACGGGCACTCCTTACACGCCCTCCTGGCCGAGGCCAGGAGGGCCTCTGCACCATGCCGGGGGCCAGGACGGCCCAGGCCGGGCACGGTGGTGGTGTGCAGCCCTCGGCACACCCCCTGAGATCCTGGCGTCGCAGTGTTCTCGCACCGGGCGTGCTTGTCTCGAGCGACCGTCAGATCTCAGGGTCCAGCGTCTTGAAGAAAAAACAGAAAGCTCGAACAACCAAAAGAAACCCATCGAAACCCAAGGAAACAATCGAAAACCAAGAAAACCATCGAAACCCAGGAAACACAGCCCTCAGCGCATCCCCTGAGATCCTTGCATCGCAGCGTTCTCCCACCGGGGTCATGCTCGACCCCTTTCCACTTTTGTGTTATTTCCTCCCCCCTCCCTCCGCGCGGCCGCCCTCGTCTTTGTCCCTCTCTGCATGCCGGCCAACTAGCCATAAGTCGGGCCTGTCCCCGTACAGGGGGATTGTCGACGAAAAATAAAAGATACCCCAAAAAATAATCAACAACAAAAAATTCAACAAAAAAATTAAAAAAATAGTCTGGGAACTATTTTTTGAATATTTTGTTACCTTTTTGGGGTACTTTGGGGGTATTTCTTATTTCTCGTCGAAAATCCCCCCTGTAGGGGGACACGCCCGCCTTAAAACTGGCCGTCCGGCTGCCCCGAATTGCCACACGCTGCAGCGGACCGCCTGTGCCTCGCCGCCGACGGCAGAAGTTCGCCCCGTCTCGGGCCCCGAGGGCCATGAGAGATCGATCTTGCTCGAGCGACCGTCGGAGCTCGGGGCCCGGCGTCTTGAAGACGAGGCACGGCTCGCACGGCAAAAAGCACACGCGGTCGGCCCCTATCGTGAGGATGCGCGAGAAGGATGCGAGGGCCTTGGGAGCCCGCTTCGAAGCTTTTTGAGTGGGGCGCGGTGAACGGAAGTGGTCAAGGATGGGCCGAGGAGGCAAGGATGTAAGGGGGCTGACTGTAGACTCTAGACTTCGGTCGGGCATGTCAAAAAACCGTCCCCTGACAATAGTTTGACTAATCTCGCATTTTCCTCATGAAGAAAGACACGCCCGACTTGACGGCAGACATGAGCTTCCAGAGGCCCGCCCGCGCGGAGAGGGTCCCACCGCTCTACCTCCCGCCTGCCAGGGGGAGCTCAGGCATCCAGGTCCCTGCCTGGGGGGGAGCTCGGAGGTTTTCCAACTCGAAGGTTCGAAGCTTTCGGACGTACCCATCGGTCGGAGGAAGAAGGTAGAAACATGAAGTAGGAAGGCGTTGAAAATAGATTGGGTGTCCGCCCGTCCCCTAAAGAGGACGGAACAGGGGAAGCCACTCGATCATTGAAGTATGAAGGCACTCAAAGTAGACTGGAAGCTGGGACTCCAAAAATACCTACCTTCAACGACCGATGGGTGTTCGTCAGTTCCCAGAAAGGAAAGGTATTGCAGCCTCGGGCTGCCTTCCAGCAGCTCCGCCTCGCCGTGAGCGCTCCGGGGCTCTGCCCAGCCGGAGCGTCCCGACCGCCCGCCGGAGGCACGACTTTCACCAACCACCCGAAGCCCAGACTGCGCACGCCTTGAACCCAGGAAAAAAAGAGAGAGAGAGATAGAAACAAAAAAAAAAAAAAAAGTGGAGGCCAGTCCACGAGAAACCTTCCACGAGAAACCCAACCCTGAGACCCCAGGACGTCCCTTGCTTCTTGGCGTGGGGACGTCACGCCCCCCATCGCGAAACCGTCGAGACCCGAGACAACCCAGCGCGCCCTGGAGGCCAGCAGGGCGTTGCCCGGCATGGGTCCCCACCGCAACAGCATGCGGGAACGGCTCGCCCGTGCCTGCCCCCAGGGGCTCGGCCTCGGGCCCCCCCTGGGGGGGCGTCAGGGAAACGGCTCGGGAGGACTGGCGGCGCGCTCGGGGGGGGAGGTGCGCAGGGGCTGACTACGTCCCAGACCACCCCAACCCAACCCGAAGACCCGAACTTCGGGTTGGGGGGGGTACGGGTTCCATATGTGTTTTCTCGATGTTCCACGACCCCCCCCCAACTGGAAATCGAGGATGAATTGGGGCCTTCAGGTTGGGTTGGGGTGGTTTGGTGGGTGGTGAGGGCCGGGGCTTCTCAGAAGGCACAAGCAGCTTCTCGAGGGCGCGAGGGCTTCTGAGCAGCCCCGCCGCCCTCTGAGAAGGCCTTCTCCTTCTCGTTTCCCCCCCTCGCTCGCCGCCGAGATGAGAAGCCGGCCCTGGGGAAGGGGCAGCACCAATCAGCATCGCATCGGGACGTCGGATCGCATCGGCACGGGCGTCGGATCGGGCCGCACCGGCACGGAGCCGACATTGGTCCGACCGGCTGCGCCGGGAGGCCCGACAGCGCCACGCAAAAAAAAAGAAAAAAAAAAAAACAAAAGAAAAACAAAAAAAAAAAAGAAAAAAAAAAAAAAAAAAAATAAAACAAAAAAAACGAAAGACAACAAAAAAAAAACAAGAAAAAAAACAAAAAAAAAAAAAAAACAGAAAAAAAAAGCAAAAAAAGAAAAAAGAAAAAAAGAACAACAAGAAAAAAGACAAAAAAAAAAAAGAAAAACAAAAAAAAAAAAAAAAGCAACTGGCCGGCATCGATCGTCGGAATATCGGAATCGGATTGTCGGCGGCGAGCGAGGGGGGAAATGAGAAGGAGAAGGCCTTCTCAGAAGGCGGCGGGACTTCTCAGAAGCCCTCGCGCCTTGAAGTTATTCTTGTCTTCGGGGAAGGCTGAGAAGACTTCTCAGAGGGCCTGGAGACTCCCGAGCCTTCTGAGAAGGCCTCCTCCTTCTCGCTTCCCCTCCCCTCGCTCGCCGCCGAACATCGGAATATCGAATCGGACCGGGCCGGCCCGCATCGAGACCGGCCCGGACCGATCGGATCGAAATGGACCCCGCGGGGTCGGGACTCCTGGCGGGGGGCCGTGCGGAAAGACTCAGGACGTCGGACGTCTGGGCAGCCGTAGGGACGGACGTCAGGCGGGGGGGGGGCCGGGCCTCTGGCAGGGCCTCGCGGGGCCGGACGTCAGGCCCTCGCGGGGCCGGGCCTCTGGCAGCCGTAGGGACGGACGTCAGGCGGGGAGGGGGGGGGGAAAGGGCGCCAAGCAGCGACAGCTGGGGCACATGATCAAAGGGGCCCCAGGGCACACAAGTAAATACACACAAATAAAACGACTCCACATATTTTCCCATATTTGGGGGGTCTTCGTCTTCCCCCCCGCTTCCCATATTTTCCCATATTTTCTCGGGAATCGACGATGATTTGTGTCTGTGTGTTTGTTCCCTCCTGGATGTTCACAGCAACGCGTCGGCGCCCCCAGGCCCCGAAGTTCTCACAGGGTGCCAGAGACTGGCGGAGTTCCTGTGCCTCGGAGCCCGCAGACCGCGCTGCGCGCGCCATGGAGCACTGAAAAAAGGGAGGGGGGCGGGGCAATGCAGAAGAACTCGCGGCAGGTTCCGCGGAGGGTCGTAGGAAGAACTGCAGACCCGCGCGCAGAGATGCTGGAAAAGCGCACCTCGCTTCGCCCACCGTCAGGTGCCCACACCCTGTCACACTCGAACTCGCTCTTGCACAGGACACGCGACGGGACACAAGACCCTTCCGATGGTCACACTGCCCCGGGAAGGCAGAGAGCACGAGACGCGAAAAACAGGATACCATGCTATCCTTGATTCGGCAGGGTCGACCTACAGCGTTATCGAAGCCGACTGTACCGCCCGGCCGACTCGCGACCCCTTCCACGAGGCCTGCTTTTCCATCTGACGGCCCCTGAGATCCGACGCTCCAAGAAAATCGGAGCAGGCGGTTTTCTCCGTTTTCGGACTCTGGGGGCCCTCGCCGGGCTCCGGGAGCGTGAAAAAACGACTCGGGACGAAAAAAAACAGCCCTATATATAGAGAGAGAGAGAGAAGTGGTCTCGGGGGCCCACGCACCGAGCAGTTGGAGCAGCTGGACGTCTGACGGCCTCCAGGGCCCAGAAGCGGCCGCTCAGACGCACCCAGAGCTGCAAGAGTCGGCTACACGCAAGAGTGACCCCGGGTAAGAGTGACCTTTGGTGCGCGGCTTTTTGGTGGCCGCGGGGGGACCAAACCTGGGCGCGCAAGCCGCTGCTCCTGCTTCGTTTTCAGCCACCTGGGGGCCCATCCGTGCCGGCACCAAGGGTCACTCCGGCGAAAGGTAACTCTTACGTCTAGTCGAAAGAGAGAGAGAGAGAGAGAGAGAGAGAACAAACAAACAAAAAAGAACAAACAAAAACTAATTCTCCGGCTCGATGCTTCCTTGCCTCCATCGGGCCCGGGAGGCTCGTGCCCTTCTTTCGGGGTGACCCAAAAGGGGGTCCAGCTCAAAGGGGGTGGTGCCATAGATTTGGGGCAATTGTATTGCAAATGTTCTGCGCCGGAGAATTGTATTGCATTGCATTGCAAGTAATGCATTGCACGCGAAAATCCAGCAATACATCTGCGCCCCGAAATGTATTGCACGCCCCACATGTAGTGCAACCCCACAAAGCTACTGCACCGAATCTATGGCACCACCCCCCTGTCGCTGGACCCCCTTTGGGGTCAACCCGGTCTTCGGGCTCCGGGGGGACCGGAGGAGGCCTCCAGAGGCCTCCAGAGCCGCAGACAACAAGCACCAG